ACCTGCTAGACGAACTTTATTGCTCTCTCCATCACAATGTTTTGCCACCATACCAACCTACTGCAGAGGTAGCGACACTATATTTGGCATCACTCTAGCTCTAAAAGAAACACCTTCCTGGGAGTTTGTATTTCACTAACACGCTAACATCACTAACATCATTTCCTACTCAAGCATGTTATATAAAGGACTCCTATGCTTACACTTACCACAAATTTCTTCAGATGTATTAGTAACATCTTGCTAAGCCTGTATCAAAATTCAACTGGACCTCGTAAAATTAAATACATGTAGCTTATGCATTATTTAAGCCTTAAGAAAACAGAGATTCTAGCCAATCAGCACGATGGAAATATCCACCAACTTTTAGAGGAATTTTGCTAGTATTGTAGGACCAAACACAAAATAATCAAACAGGCTGCAAATTCTGTTTGACATAATTTTACTGAGAACATTGGAAGAAATGATATTCATATAAATTTGCAGAGATTTTAAGGCAAAATCTCTTTAAGAGCCTAGTATCACTATGTCTCCTGGTGATCAAACTAGACTATCATATCACACAGCATCGAGACGTCCAACTTTATGGTTTCAAAGTTCATAGTTAAATCCTACCTTTACCAAAGTGTAGAAGCTTCTAATGATTTAAACAAGATACAGAATTTGGTTGTAGGAGTCTATGAATGTGAAGCCAGAGATCAGTACCTTTTTCACTAGAGAACTATTTTGTCTTAGACAAACGCAGGGAAAAAAACCTTTCATAAGCAGCTTCAGAAACTGTGTTCATAAACATAACTGATTTTAAATGGGAAAAAAGTCAAAATTAGTCTATCCCTATTGTTGCAGAAGACCATGAACTGTAACCAATTCTCTCTTCTACACTGTTAACAAAATAGTTTAGAAATCCAACTCTCAAGACGAATCAGTGTTCACAGGTGTCACAGAGGACTCAGTTAAACACTGCCAGCACGCACAGGTGTCAGTTAACCAGGGGCCTGCATTACTCTCTAAAGCATCTCTTTTTCGTTGCTAATGCTTGTACAGTAGAACAAAATCACTTTCAAACCCCACATAAATTGAGAACAGTTAGAGCAAATGAAGATATATTTTCCAGCTAACTGAACTATTTTAGCTGTCTTTGAAAAACAAGGAATATGAAACTCCACATACTTTTAGGATTTTTGTGAACAGACTACACTCGAACTACACTGAGCTATGAAGACTGTTAATAGATGCCAGCAACTTACGTCTCTGTTGAATACTGACTTTTGTCTAAACTAAACAGCTTTTGCTCGAAGTCGTGTCACATCTTGTTGTCAAGGAAGGGTAACCCCAGTTATTATTTCATGCTCTTCTTCCCTGACACACTACAAGTATTTTGTTTTAATGCAAACCGCAAATACAAAATCCAAAAATACAGAGATTGTGCCATTTATTTAAACTAAAGAAACAATATGCAAGAAAAACACACTGCCTAATAAAACTAATTCAGATAATCCTGACCCTGTCCTGTTAGACTTTTTTAAACATAAAGCTCCTTTTTGCCTAAGTGCAGATATTACTCAATGGGAAAACTGCTCATTAAATAATATTATTTCAACAAAATTAAACATTCTGCTCTGCTAAATTCTCTGAGCTTATATTACATCCTACTATGTGTAATTAGGTATTTATTTCAGCTTTTAAATTGCTTCTTAGAAAACATCCAGTATTACTTCATATTCATAAATCACTTGATAAGGAGTGTACCCAAGCTCTAACAGTCTATCACCAAGCACAGATGAGGAAAATTCCAGGCACACCACTTAGGTGCTGGGGAGGTGGGGAGGATTAAGTTAGCCCACTCAGTCCAGCAGCAACACTAACCTCCGTACCCAAAAAAGTCTAAACCTTCAGCATAAATCACAGAAAATAATCTGGGGTTTTTTTGCTTTGTTTTTTTATGAGTGTTTTCTTACAAAGGGGGTCAAACCCTGCTTTACTCCATTACCTTTAAAATGTCACCTGACGTTATTTCAATTCCCTTTAGGTCCTCTAGTTTTCACTTTTCTATCAAACCAAACTATACATGTAAATTATTTAACTGCTTTTCTTTGTATGGAATTTCCAATAAACCGCTATCTAAAAAAGAAACTTCCTGTGGCAATCAAATCTTGAGTTCCTCCTGTATGACACAATAGCAATTAAAGCATGCCTTTCAAAAATACTGTATATCCTTTTTTTCACACTTTAGCAGCTTACATAAGTCAGAGATTTTAGTCAGAGCTGCAGCAGCTTATTACAATTTACTTAAGTTGCAATGAAGTGAACTTGTATTTTTAAGAATGGAGATATTCTCTACGATTTTTTCTGTGCAGGCTAAAATTTCTTGTGTACTGAAGTTGCATTTTTCAGACTCTGTAAACATATTAGGATAGAACTGTCAATCACAAGAACAAAACAATAAAATAATTTCCTGCTAAACAAATTGAGGTGCAACAAAACAAACCCATGTGTGCATGAAGTGGCCATAAACCCATTACTAACTTCATTATTACATTACTCATGGTTTCTGTGTCATTTTTAGAACTTTTCTGTTGAGACCAAGTCTACCCTGACAGAGGTAGAACGTGCATAAACAAACTCAGAAAAATGGATATAATCATTATACAAACTAGTCAGATCGTAACCATGTAGCAGGGAAATTTGTATCAGATAATTACATCCACGTTGGTACAATGTATTACTTTAAGAATACTACCATCTAAGTGGTCCATTTCTGGTAGGTATGCTTTGAGACCTCCATCCAGAGAAAGAGGAGGGGAAAAAAAAAAAAAACAACCAACCAACCAAAAAAAAACCCCACACCATTGTGTAGGTTTTTGCTTACTCATATATAAAACTATGAAAACTAAAAGGCAATATTCAGTTTCAAGAAACAGTAAAATAGACATGCCCAGGGCAGAACAAGGAAATACAGAAACACAAGCAACGTTGTGACCATAAACAGATGTGGTCCACGCTCTGCTGCTATTACCCTGGCATACAGAGAACAGAGTGACCATTTTGCAGGTGTACAAAATGTGCCTGAAAGACAAATGAAAATAAGTGCCCAGAATCCATGGAACTTTATCAGAGCAAGAAGAAACTCTGATGTTTAGACCACATTTCTCACCACATGGTGAGAAATTAATCACAAGACAATAAAAAAAAAAAAAAAAAAAAAAAAAAGGCAAGAGACTTTTAATTTGACAGGCAAAGTTGCATATGATACTTGTACGTCTTCTGATTATTTCACATTGGGGATTTGGAAACACCTCAGCAGATTGTTTCCCCTGCCCATACCCATACCCTCTCACCCCTTTTCCAGGCTCATAGCTTTGAGAGAGAGAGAGAATTTGAGAGAGGGGACAAATCAAACAAGTAGTTGGGGCAAAGTCAATTGTTTAATTTATGAACAAAAGTTCAGAATGCTAAACTAAGAGGTATGTGGTGCCTCCCACATGATATTTCAGTAAAAACAACAACAACAATCAGGTATTTCCAGAGATGAACATATTATTTAAATTCACCGATGATTTCTTAAGGTCCAACTCGGGGCTCACTAGTTGGTTATCATGAAAAAACTTCTAATACTTCTATTTAAAATGGATTTTTGCTCTCAGGTTGTCCGACCAGCACTTTTACAAATCCTTATCTCACTTGAGAATGAAAAACGTGGCCCGAATGAATTGCTTTTTAGTATTTCCTGCTGAAATAGAACAGTTGTTACAAAGTCGTATAAAACTGTTTAAGCTCCAAAAAGAGAAACAAAACTGTACAAAGCTGCTATTTCCTATTAAAATGGCACAGCCAGCTTGAAACTTTAATTCTCCTCTGCTACTTTAATTAAATGTGGCATCCAAAATTACTGATTGAAATGTGAAAAATACTATTCTCCATTTTCCATCTAGCTTATGCTTCCCCTTGCTGTTTCTTCACTTCTCCGCGATCTGCTAGATAGTTCCTCTACTGAAGGAACACCAAAAGCAGTTAAATTAAAATAGTTCTTTCAATCTGTAACATACTACTTCAGAGATGTTTAAGAAATCTGCTAAGAAAAAATAAACTGCCTCTTTAAATAAAAGAATTTTTAAAGTAGTTTCCTCATAACTTATCAGACCTTTTTCAAATAACAAAGGTATGCAGCCTCTGCACTCAACACTTCTGTGGAGCTCCCAAGAGTATTAGCAATTAACTCTTGCTGAAGACTTTAACCCATCAGATCTAATAATAATTACGCATTTCTCCTGCTAGGAGGACCAATAATTTAAAACCACGCACTGTCAGGTTCACCTCTTCTCAATGACTGAGATAAGATGGATAAAACATTTTCCTCTCTTTACCCTGTGTGAAGACCATTGATGTGAAGAACCAGATGGGCCTGATACATGTTAGGACCCAAGACAGGCAGAGGAAGTTAGTACTCAGCTCTGGCAATTTACCTGGAATTCCTATGCAGAATCAAGTGAGAACTAACATGGAAGTAGTACTTGTTGAGCTCTGCTTACAGAGCTGGATGGATAACTGCCAATATAACCCACGACAGCTTATTACAAAGCCCCACTACTCTCAAATTTGAAAGACAGCTTGCCATATTTCATAATACAGTAAGTCACAGTTATGTGACTTGTATACTCTACAGCAATACCCTTAAACAACAAGCATTTTTCTCTCTGATGGGTAAGTATTGCAGTATTTCACTAAGTAAATCACTTCTGCCAGGCACCCAGCTCCTATATTCCCATCACCTTACCTGATACAGTTAAATTTCAAAAGTAGTTACTGCCCCTGCTGATGGCTTGTGAAGGATGAGGAGAGGGACATGCAACATGGTACTTAGTACTTTCACTTTTGTTTAAATATAATTCACCTTAATTCTTTTTAAAACAAGCACATAAATGAATTAATAAACAAACAAGTCTGGCAAAACGCTGAAAAATAAATGTCCAGCCTTAAAAACTTCCAGCATAGTTACAAACATGCTGACCAGTGTCGTAAGTTTACTCATGTAACTGAGTCCAGCCAATGGTATTAGAAATAGTTAAAAGTCAAAAAAGAATGGCCTTGTAGGGTGCCACCACATAAACTAAACATGATATACTGCCAAACACTCAAGCAGACACATGTACCATTATTCAGCAAGGACCACATGAATGCATATGGCTCTCTGTTTTGTCTTCATAGTAACAAGAAGGTTTGTAAACAGATCTCACATATGAGGCAATCTAGTCACTTGAGAATCTAAAAATCTGCCTTTGTAAAGAAGTGTTCTGCACTGTTGCCACACAATTGGACTTAGATACACAATTAAAAGTCCTCTATCTTTGTGCTCTGGGACAAGTGCTGCTCAATTTTATTCTTATCCATAGCAGCAATGTTTTAACGTGCCACCTCAGCCAGGACATATGTAACTGCTATGCCAAATAGCCACTGGAAAATAATGGCAACACAATAGCCTATGCAACATTAAAAATTTGGGTTGTTCTATCAACGAAAGTAATGACACCTTGACTTTGTACCATATCACTGCTGCCTTTGAACAGCTGAAAACCACAGTAACCTTAACTGCATTTACAGATGATAGTAGTAACTTTCCAAAACTCACACGGAAAAAACTCTCTCAGACTAACCTACAACATTAACACCTTTTTTGAAAAATGAGGCAAAGCAAAAAAAGATTGTGAAGAAGGTTTCAGATAATCCATACCTGAAGCTTTAGGAGTATCCCCTGACTGGAAGGATAAGGAAAGATTTAACCTCTAACTGCAAATAAATGTAACCCCAGGTTACAGTGCATCTATCTAAATACGTCCACATGCTGCAAACCTAACAGGCAGAAACTCTCCTATCTTTAAAAACAGACACACTTCTTTAGCATGTCTGCGTATCATTTTCACTATCAAAATACTGAGGATTCTGCACTGCGTCGTCATAACCTGAGTATCAAATTCCTCTGGTAGTCAGTGGTAATTCACAGTAACAACAACAACAGAACCCGAAAGCTGGGCCCACTGAATTTGTACCTTGTTAGACCAGTTGCTCTTTTAATTTAGTAATTACTGTAATTACCCGGTGTCCCCAGATCTCCTGCTGATGACCGGAGCCCCCTTGTGCTCGGAGCTGCACAAACGCCAAGAGAGGTACCGCTGCCGGGAGCGGAACACAGACCGACCCGTTCACACTTTGCTTTTGCCACCCCGACCACCTCATTTACTTCTGTCACAGTAATTCACAGTATAGATTTATTAGAAGGGGGGAAGGCAGGGAAAAAAAAAAAAAAAAAAACAAAACAAAACAAAACCACCCTTGACTAAGTAGGCATAAAATGTTTTCTGTATTATTTAATCATGTAAAAAAAAAAAAGACAAGTTTTATATTCAAGTTTACTTCATTTTAAAATGGAAGGCGGGAAATTATTTAGAGAAATATTTCTGCTGGAACTCGTTGGTATTTCTCTTAGTTTAATTTAAAAGGGAATTTAAGAATCACTGTCATAAAAATACCTTTAATGTTTCATTTCTGCAACCACCACACGCAGGGAAGGAAAATAAAAAAAAAACACCTCAGAATAACGTTTGACCATCGCTGCCAACTAATAATAAGAACAGTGAACTCCCTTTCTGGGAAATGAAGCCCGGAGGACTTTTATCGTTGCCCCGGGGCGAGCCCCGGCCGCCTGCCCGCGGAGACAAGGCGCGCTGGCCGCCGGCCGGCCGAGCCCCCGGGCAGGCGGGCTGCAGCGCCGCGGCCTCCCGCCGCCTCCCCCGCCCGCGGCCGGGGCCCTCCGGGGCACCACCTGCCGCGGGCCCGCCCCGCTCCCCCGCAGGGGGCAAGGCCGCGCCGCCCGGAGCGGGCAGCGGGGGCATCGCCCGGGCTGAACCGGGGCTTCCCCACCCCCCCCCCCACCCGCCGCGCCGCGTCCCCGCCGCGCCGCGCGGTGCCGGCGTGAGGTATCCTATGCGACAGGCGCGGACGTGCCGCTTACATAATCGCCGCCGGCCGCACACGCACCCCGCGTTACATAAGGGACCGGGCCCCCGCCGGCCCCTGCCTGCGCCGCCCCCGCGGCACCCCCGCCGGCGCGGGGCAGGAGGGAGCGGGGGGAAGGAGGGCCCCGGCCCCGGCGGCCCCGGCCGAGCCCTTCGTTAACCCCCTTCCTGTGGCGTTTACACGTCATGGAACATTCCCGGAACGGGCCAACGTCCCACCCACTTCAGGGAACAGTCACCGCGGCGCAGCGCGCGCGCCCGCACCCCGCGCGCGCCCCCCCCGGCCCCCTCCCGGCAAAGCGGCGGGTACCCCCGCGCGCGCACCCCCCCTACGAGCGCGCCGACCCCCCCGGCGCCCCCCGCGGGGACGCGCTGCCAGAACCGGAGCCACCTCCCCCCACACACACACACCCCGGCGCCCTCCCCGCCGCGCCGGGTGGCCCCGGGCGCCCTCCCTGCAGGGTGCCTCCCCCGCTTCCCCCCCCCCCCCCGCCGCAGGGCGCCGGAGGCCGCGGAGAGAACCCTGCCGGGGCGGCCCCCCCGCGGGCGCCTCTCCCCGGCGGTGACCATGCCCATTCCCCGCCACAGGAGGGGATTACGCAAGGCAGCCTGCTCCTCATCTGCATACACTTACAAGCTGGGTATTCCCCACATTTCCTAACGGCGTGTCACCGACAAAGGCCTGTCCCCTGCCCCGGCCCCCTCCTGCGCCGGCTCAGCGGAGCGCCGGGCCGGGCCGGGGGGAAGGAAGGGCCGCCGGCCCGCGGTGCCCCGGGGACCGCCGGCGCCCGGAGCCGCCGCCACAGAGGTGACTTACCGGTCTGGCGGTTTTACAGCCCCGCCGGCGCCCTCCCCCGCGCCTCCCGCCGCCCGCCCTCCATTTACCCCTGCAACCCCAGGGCCGGCTGTTCGGGCGGCACTCGGCGGCCCCCCCACCCCCAACCGCTCGGCCGGGCGCCCTCTCCGCCGCGGCCCGAGACCCGCCGCCCCGCCGCCGGCCGCCCCCCGCCGGCGGCTCGGCGCGGCTGTCAGCTGGTGCCGGTGACAGGGGACCGGCGGCGGGCGGGCGGCGGGCGGGGAGGAGGGGGGCTGCCCGCAGCAGCCGCTGCCGCTCACCTGGAAAGTCACCGCGGAGGAAGGAGGGGAAGCCCTCCCGGTGCCCTTGGTGCGGCGGCTGCTGCTGCTGCTGCTGATCCCGCCGGGCGCTCGTGTCGCTCCTTGGCTAAGGGCTCGCCCGGAGTGAGGTGGCTGGCGGTGCTTCTTTATATATATAAAGACAGACAGCGATATTCCAGCGGCCGAGGGGCGCCCGTTTCACGCATTTCTCTTAAGGCAGGTCATTCCTCTCCCTCTTTTTTTTTTTTGGGGGGGGGGGAAGGCTCATCCCCATCACGCTGCCAGCGGCGGCGGGGCCGGTGCGGCCCGGGAGGCGCGGGAGCGCCGCGCGCTGCAGGCAGCTCCGCCGGGCTATTCCTGGCACCACTTCCCAGAACACAAGTTACGGGGCGGCGAGCGCGGAGCGAGCGCCGGGGAGCGCGCCGCCTGTGACGTCACCGGGTCCCCCCGCGCGCCGGCGGGGAGCGAGCGAGGCGCGACCGGCAGCGCCCGGCCGCGGGGTGATGGGCGCTGCCCGCCCCTCTCGGTGTTGGGGTGTGGGGGGGGGGGGGGGGTGCGGGGAGGCGGCGGCGGGGGAGAGGTGCGCCGCGCCGCCGGGAGGGGAGGGCGGAGGCAGGGCTTCGGCGGGCGAAGCCGCGGCCTCTCCCCGCCGGCGGAGAGAGATCGCCGCTCCCCGCCCCCCCCCACCCCCCCCCGCTGAGGGAACTCCCAGGAGAGCCAGTCCCGGCTCGCCGCGCGCCCTCCCGGCCCCAGAATTTCCTCCGCGGCCGCGGGATCCTCCTCCTCCCCTCCCGCCGCTTCCTCGCTCCCGCCCCCGGCCCCTCCGCCCCCTCGCTCTTGCCTGCTGGAGATCACATTATCTGTCAGGCAGAACAATATAGCACCGGGGCTCCCCGGCCCGGCTGCCGGCCCCAGCAGCTTCACAGCAGGCGCCTCGGCAGCCGGGCACGGCTCTGCCCGCGGCCCCGATCTCCTTTAGAAGGGGCCGCGCCGCGCACCGGCACGGCGGGGCTCGCCGCCGCCCCGGGGGGCAGGGAGGCCGCCCCCGGCACGCACGCCAGACGCCCCGGGCTCTGCCACAGACTACACGCATTTATTTCAACGGCCTCTCGCCCACCCGGCGCCGCGGCGAAGCGCCTTCCCCGAGAGCGGCCCGCGCCACCGGGAGGACAGACAAACGGACGGTGCCGGCCGGAGCTGCGGAGCGGCCGGCGCAGACACCTCACGCCGGCTAACGGCCGCCCGGGGCTCACGCCCCCGCTTCCCCCCGCCGCTGACGGATCCGCCCGCAGCCAATGAGCGTCCGCAACGTCCGGTGGCGGGGCGGGCTCGGCGGAGGGGCCGGTCTCCCTCAGCAGCCCCCGTCGGCCCCGGAGCCGGCCCGCCCCGGGGGCAGGGGCGCCGCGGGGGGGGACACACGGGACACCCTCCCGGCGAGGCGGTGCCTGCGCTCCCCGGGAGCGTCCCGGCGCTCTCCCGCGGCCGCCAGCCCCACCGCCGGCGGCTGTCACGGAACCCGGCCCGTGTCCGGCGTCGACAGCCGGCCCTAGGTCCCGCTGCTAAGCTCGGCTTTGAGTTCGCTCGACCCGGGCGAGGGTGCGGGAGCGGCCTTTGTCTGTCTTAGGTTTGCCACGGAAGGTTGCCCTCGGGTGGTTCCCGCGGTTCGGGCCCTCCCCGCTGGCTTCGCCGGGCTCGGCTTCGCTGCCGCGCTGGGTCTGGGGAAGCGGGTCTGCATTTCGTCGTCAGAGCAAAATAGTTTTCTGCTGGGGAAGCCATGCGACCGCATGCGGAGGCTGCCGTGAGGTGACTGGAAGGGATGCCGGCTCGCAGCGCTGTCACCATGACGTGGGAAGTCGTACCAGCACCTGAGATTATTGCTTTGATTCACATCCCCCCCCCCCCCCCCCCCCCCCCAAAAAAAAAAAAAAAAAGCCAAAACAAAACAAAAAACGTCATGGATTAAAAGGGAAGGGTGTACACATAAATCCAGAAAGCGGTCGTTCTTACGGCAGGTGCTGGAGCAAATAAAAGCATTATTTCATGGTTTAACTAGTGAAGAATTTTAAGTCATTCCTGCAGCTTTTTAGGGACTAGTAACAATTCAGTGCTCTGGGCACAGAATCTATTAATAAATATCCTGTCATCCTAATACGGTCCTTGGCCCCTGTTGACTTTGGTGGCCTCCGAGTCAGGTTCATGGAGCTTCCTTGTGCTCGGTCCAGGAGGTGCAGGAGAGTCTCCAGATTTCTTGGGACTCACCTCAAATCATGCAACAAGCATCTCACACGATCATAATTTTACAACGACTGACTACTTCTGTTACATAAAAGACTTGCTCCTGCCAGCACGTCTGGTACTAAGAGGGCTGAACCACAGCAGAGTCGCTTGCTCCTTGCTAAGTCTGTGAGCGTGTCTGTCTTTTTTTTTCATGGTTTTCACTGTGATACTGTCATTCCTGACACTGAGTATTGTTTCACTGGAATTATTCTGTCTGAGTAAACGTATTGACCTTGAGCTTGTGATCTTTATTTGATGCTGTGTCAGAATAAGTCAGTGGGAGACAGGAGTGCTTAGGATCTGTTTTAAATTGAAGTTTTCCCATCCTGCCGCTTTCCACAGCGGCTGCGTTTACCTCTGCCCCCAAATGACGGCTGCCAGTATCCTCCCCTCTGGGAAGCTGCAGACTCCTGACCAGCACATTTGACTTCTTGCGGTCTGCCGAGCATTGTCTGCTTCTCTCCTGCCTCTCACACAAGACTTCAGAAGTTCACTTTTATTGTCACAGAGACCAGCCCAGAGAAGCTACTGCAACAAGGTTCAGTATTCAAAATAATTTAAAAGAAAGTGTTTATTGACAGTTATTCTCCAAGCAAAGTAGAAAAATGTTTCTCCATAATGCTTTTCAAAATAAGGGTCTTTTTCCAATTGTTTTGGTTATCTCAGTAAGTTTTACTTTGTGTCCTTTTCCACATCCTCCTTCTCTTAGTATTGCAGCACCTGAGCCACTGCCACTTCCTTCGCTGTGGCTCTACAAGGTGCGTGCTGGAGTTACAGCTCCTGGGCACCTTAGGGTTCCCAGGGAAGACTGAAGCTACACGAGTGCTCAGAGACCTCGACTGCTGTACGTCGATTGTTTGGCTCGAGCCCGGGAGCCGGTTTTGATGGGCTGCACAACTTGCAGCTGCAGGAGTCCTTAGCTTGGAGGAGACCCCCCTCCCTCCCCTCCCCGGCAGCCAAAGAGCCAGGGAGGTCTTTGCATGGCTCCTTCAGCCCACTCCCCCTTTGAGCACCATCGTAGGGCATAGGTGTAACTGAGCACAAACTTACCTTCACCCCTGACCAATGCCCCTTTGCCCTCCCCCGGGAGCATGAGGCAGGAGCACAGTCCCGCGACGGGACTGCGGCTGGGATGCCCGAGTAGTTCTCCTCACAAACTCCTGCCAGTAACTCCACAGAGAGGCAGCAGACATCTGAATCACTTTTCCTCACCTACTTGTGACAACATTATCATAATCTCCTTGTGCCATAGCATCCCATCATTTCCCTCTAGATTTTTTTTCTTTATGTTTAGATCCAGCATTTAATAAAAGTATCACTCCAACTAAACTGAGAAGAGAACTAAGGGAGCTTTCAGGTGTGAGATTTACAGCTGTTTTTTAAGTACAGATTTTGCAGTTTCATCAGAAAGAAAGTCGTTCTTGCTGCTTGGGAAGCATCTTGGCCATCACAGCTGCCGCTAGTAGCAAGCACAATACAGAATAATATTCAGCAATGATGTTCACAGTTTATTAAATGCTATAAATTATTCTGAAATCTTGGTTTGATCTCAGAACATACAGAATCCATCAGTTTTGTAAACTGTGCTGCTCCCAAAGTAGATAATAGAAAGCAATACATAATTTTTCTATAATAGTACAGTTGAGTAGAAATGTGAAATAACAATTCCTAAAACAGCTAACAATTTCAAAGCAATTTGTCCTTTCTTTCTTTCTTTCTTGGGGTGGAATTACTTGGTCCCTAAGCCTGTACCCAAAACCTCTTTACTATTTCTTCACACAGTTGTCACAGATAGAGCCGCACCAAAAGAGAAAATTCCTTTACATAAAGGGATTGGTACTACCTCTTGATTTCAGTATGAGTAGTGTAAAGCAAAACGGTCCAAATGTATCCAATTTTCTGAAAATCTCGGAGGGTAGGGACGTGAATTACAATTAGTGGTGTTATATTGTTATTCAGCATCCTCTTTCTTAAGGTTTGATTAAGTGAGAAAAGCTATGGGAAACTGTCTGGGAATTGCTTTCCTTGTAAATAAACAGATACTAATAGTTTCCTATCAATGTTGTTTAAAATATATCTTACTTATTTGTGTAGGAGCTGCCTTCCATTTTCCTTCACTCCTCTTCCCAACTGCTGGGACTGCAATGCCTCTTGCTGCCCTTCCCCTTCTGCCCCCCCACTACTGCCTTTTCTAACTCCCTGGTTACACTCAGTGCTCCTTGCACTTACTAGTAAAATGTCAAGATACTTGGAGCTGGCTTTTCAATGCTGGAAGCAGGGTGCACTCCCTCTTCTGTCCTCTTCCTCTTTGGAGGGCCTGTTCCTTCTCCCCTCATGACCGAGAGAGGGACCCTGAGCTGGGTGCTGGGGCGATGAACGGCCAGCAAGGGTGAGGGTCCCTGCCACCAGCCCCTCCTTGGGGACTCCCAGAGAGCCTGAGGTGGCACCCCCAGCCGCTCTGGAGCTGGGGAGGAGGGTGAAGAAGGGAGACTAAGCTAGATCAGAAGACTTGGCGAGAGTCCTGAAAGGGCTGCATTTGTCTCCTGCTTTGCTTTGGATGCCGAAGGCATCACAAAATTAGTGTGTAGAGCAGTATTAATTTGGGTAACTGAGGGGATTTTTGAGAGATACCTATCTTCTACTGCCCTTCTTCTCAGAGATAACTAGCAGCTATGAGTTTCACTTATCATTTGATCATTTAATACCATAAAATGTATCTCCAGCCACAGCATCCCACTTTCCCATTTGTACACATTGCTTTCATTTTGCTCGAGTGCCGTCTTATGAGAGAAGAGAAGAAGACATTGCCGGTTCACCCTCCCGACACCTCTCCCTGTGCATTCCTTGAATCCAGGCTGCTGTAGCTTGTTTTTCTACTCTCCTACGTAAACAAGGGTAATCTTTCATCACAGGGGAGTGTGCTGGTGACTCCTTCAGAGAACACAAAGAAGTCACAGTGAAGCACTTCTTTATCCACAACAGCTTCAAGCTCATACGGTATCAAATGGTACGAAGGAGCAAGAAGCCAAGCTGGTTAGCTTGAACAAGACTGTGTGTAAATAACTCTGGCAGAGGGCCCAAAGGAAGGGGAGTACTACTTGCCTGGTAATGAACAAATGGCTCTATTTCCTGAAGGAAAAATATTTTTCTGCTATACTGAGCTTTCCCTCAAAAAAAAAAAAAAAAAAAAGTGATTTTTTCCACATAAAGTATTTCCAGATGCAGAACTAACACACTGTGTGTATCAACAGCTTGATAATAACATGTCAACACTTGACCTTAGAAGGAGGGAAAAAATGAAGATGGCAGAATTTTCTGAAATTACGCCCTTTCATGGGAACATTTTTTAAAGCCCATGAATTCTGGGAAAAGATTTTAAAATAAAATTTGATTATTTTTACTCATTTCCATTTTTTCACAGCTAATCAGCAAGCTGAATAGGAAAATCTACAATGCTGACCAGAAATGCAGCCAAGTGATTACGTGCACTTCTCATGTGAGATAGACGAACCCTGTAAGTGCTATAGCCAGATGCTCTTTGATCATCCTTTTAAATATCACAACCTAATTAAGTTTTTGAAAGACCCTTACTTTTAGGATTTTTGAAAAAATCTTTTGCTTTGCTAACAAGTGGGCCACGTTATCAGGCACTGGTTATTTCTCTTTACATAAAAAGTAATAGCTCCTATGTATTTTGAATACTGTACTCGGTTCTCTCCCCCCACCTTGCTCCACTTTTTCTATGAACATCTGAAGTAAGATCCTGCCAAAGACACAGCATGATTTAGCAACTTCTGAGTTATATATAACCTGAACAATTAAGCAACTTAATTTTCTAAAATCTTACCTATTTATGTTCCCGTTAGACCTGATATGATAGCCTTTCGTTTAGCATTCTTCTCCAATAGGCAACTTTCAATTTTGCATCATCTTCCAATTCAAAGAAACCTCAAGTGCTTCATGTGTACAGAATTTCATGTACAGGCTGGAAAGAGACAGAGGGGCAGACCACTCTTAGTAATGAGTAGTGACAACTTTAAAACAGAGTACAGGAGAATATCTTGGCATCTCAAAACGGCAAAGGGCACTTTGGATAAGAAAAATGACAGTAACTGAGTTGAAGCTACCTAGAATTTGGCCATATTATCCCATCTCTTTTACTTTTCTGGCACATGCCATGGGAACCATCCTAACCACATTGGTTGCCCTTCTGGTTTTGCATCTCAGGAATCTTCCCACAGGCCAGCGCCCTGAGCATCCTGCAAATACCTTCCTTCACAGCTGATTCAGAGGGAAGTGTGCCACCTACTGAAGGACCTCAGCCACTTTGTATACATCTTGGACTTAAGTTCTTTCCCATTCCTGAACTTTCCAGGCCTTCACACTACTGATTTGAATTAGAAACTAGTCTTTGGCTTATCAAAGTTTGTAAACTCAGCAATCAGAAGGTCATGAAGATGGACATGAGCAAATGCAATCCAGGCTAGTTGCATCTAATTCATGTGTAAGCAGTGTAATTTGAGATTAAAATAAGTCCTCTGTCTGAAAGCAAGTGTAAATGTTACCCCTACATCACCACTTTTGCCAGAAGTGGGATAAATATCAAGGATTATCTCCATAACTGTAAGAGAAGATTAGGTTTGGGGATAATCAGTACAACACATGGATGTGTTGGCAATACTGACATGCACAGTATTTGCAGTTTAGGTATTAGGTAGGCTTTTTTAACAAATGAGTGAACAACTTCCTTTACTGACAGATAGTAGTTACCT